TGGCGCTGCGACATCACGAACGTAATTCGCCACACGTTCTGCCCACACACTAGAAGCAATCATATCACACTAGAAGCAAACACTTCTGAGTCCAGCTCCGCAACGCTGTCTCCCGCACTACATTTGTACTACAAACTGGCCACTTCTGAGTCCAGCTCCAAAAAGCTCTTTCCCGCACTACATTTGCACTACAAACTGGCCAGGTCTGAGTCCAGCTCCACAAGTGAAGCGCCAAGTCTCCAAAATGAGCGTTTCGCACGAGACTTCCTCCAAAAGTGAAGTGCCAAGTCTCCAAAACCAGCGTTTCGTACGAGACCTCCTCCAAAAGTGAAGTGCCAAGTCTCCAAAACAAGGTTTCGTACGAGACCTCCTCCAAAAGTGAAGCGCCAAGTCTCCAAAGCGAGCGTTTCGTGCGAGACTTCCTCCTCCAAAAGTGAAGCGCCAAGTCTCCAAAGCGAGCGTTTCGTACGAAACTTCCTCCAAAAGTGAAGAGCGACCAATCCAAAACGCAATCTCACCTGCATTTCGCGCCCTTAATGCGCACGATCTCCGCAGAGGGTTGCGCGGGACAAATCCAAAACGCAATCTCACCTGCGTTTCCCGCCCTCGACACGCACGATCTCCACAGAGGGTTGCGTTTCGCGTTGCTCCGGCGGCGCCGCCCCCGCCTTAAGAGAGAAAGACAAGAAGAGCGAGAGGATCTGCAGATGTGAAGATGTGAAGATGTGAAGATGTAGATGTACAGATGTGAAGATGCGCAGATGTGAAGATGTGAAAATGTAGATGTGAAGATGTGAACATGTGCAGATGTGAAGATGTAGATGAGACGTAGTTCTACAGATGCTTTTTACGAAAAGCACTTCGCAGACGCTCTCGGGAACAATGATCAAATCCAAAAGGGGCTGAACAAGTTTTGCTTCAGAGACATGCTTGCTGCGCTGCTCAGGTAAAAATGGACTGCGAAGGATCCGAGTTGAGCTTCGGCCTCGCAAACAGGCTCAAGTTGCCAAAGTCCTCGGGAAACATTTTTGTCTGCGCAAATTACAGTGAAAGAACTCCTGTTCATTCACAATGTTTTTAAGGAAGATTCTGGCCACCGAGTGGCATTGGAACAAAGTGCGGCTGCTGGCGGTGGAGATTTCTGTGATCCTTCTTCGGAAAGAGCATCCCGATGGAAGTGGATGGACGCAGTTCAACGCCATCCTGCACTGCTTGCGCAGAGGCGGTTTTACGCTTGCCAAGCTTGACCCCCGCGTGTTCAAGGTCGAGTACTGGAGCCTTAGCTGCCTTAGCCCATTGATGTTGTGGATTTGGTATGTTTGCGCAGACGGGGCTTTGAGTTTGACAGGTTTTTCCGTGGAGCACGCACTCATTCACTTGCTTTTGAGCGCCAGGAATCCAAGCACTAAAGAGAGGCGCCGGCTTGGGCTAGGTATGAGACATCAGCATGGAAAGAAGTGAATTTCCACGTGCTTGGCAGGTCTTTTCAGAGTGATGCAATCTGTTGGCATCTTGGCTGCCAATTTGAGATTTTTAAAAAGGCAGGTCAGCAGTGCAGTTGGATTGCCACTTGAGCCCGCTTTGATTTCACTTGTTTGTTGATCTGCTCAACTAGCACAGCGCAACCGAAACATCTCTCCGTCAGTACGACGCAAAAACCCCGATCCCTCAAGAAGTCCGAAGGCTGAGTCGAATCACGGGTATATTTTCACGTCCGTTTCGCATGTTTCGTGAAGATTGGAAACGCTAAAATTCAAGCTGCAACTTCCAACAGCCGGCAACAGTATGTTGAACCAATCACGAAGGGAAGCGTCGCCCAAAACAGTTGCTTGCCAAGGTTTGCGAGGACAACGTTGCCAGATCCCACGCCGCCGAACATGACGCAGTACACCAAGTGGTGGGATTTCGACCGCCTGATGAAAGAGTCATTGAAGGCCGAGCGCTCACTTGAGCAGACACTTTCTGTTTTGCGTTTTATCTAGACAAGAAACGAAAGCCTGTTTGTTTGCGTTGGGGGCCATTGCTAGCAGCTTGGAGGCGGCCTCTACTAGGTAGTTAGTTGGAGGCCATTGCTCTGAGTTTCTTCTTAACTTTCATTGTTTTGCTTTGTTTTTCCGCATGGCGAGGGGGCATGGCGAAGGGTTCAAAACACACTCGGGGTTTGGGGGGAGCCTCGTTGGCGTGACGTTGCTTTCTTCGCAAAGGTTCTTAGTGCGAAGAGAAAGCGCTTGCCTTGGAAGCACCAAGTGTCAGATTTGTATGAAACTTAACACGTGTGAATGAAGGATGATTTTGCTGCGCAGGTGTGGTGTTTTGTGAGGAGAGCTTTGCGTCACCATCTTCCTGGGAGTTGTTTTCTCAGGGTGGTTTTTGGAATCCCGCTGCACGGTGACAAGTCTCAGTGTCAGGCAAGTTTGCGATTCTGATTGGCGTGAGTGTGCTCAGAAAGTGTTGAGATCATTCCATGTGTGGCGCGGTGCAGATCATGTGCCAGACATGTCAAGGTGTGGCATAGTCATTGTTGTGGCAGGCGCAGGTGATTGTCGCTGTGGGGGTTGGCGTGTCAGCGGCTGCTCTTTCGAGGGGCTTGGATTGCAAAACCGTTTGGCGGGACGGCGCGGATTTTTGGGGCTGATGAGGTGCCCCACTAAAAGCTCGCTGCTGAAGGAACAAGCATTCGCTTTGGAAGCTTGACGCACCACGCGTGCCCTAGAAGAATGTCTCACAAGAGTGTCCTGGGGCCTGGGGCTCGGCCAGGCCGCACGCGTGTATGTTTGCATTCGGATTCGTCGGCGACGTTTTGTTTGTTTCCTTTTTCCTTGGGCCTGACTTTTGGTTGTTTCCCTTTCGCTCTTCCTTTTGCTTATGTTTTTCTACACTTGGAAACAAGCAAGCTCTACGACTCAGATATTTTGAGCCGTGCTGGGTTGAGGAAACCATCCACCCAAGCCTAAGCTCAACTGTTTTGCCACAGGAGTTGTTGATTTCACATTCATGTACTGTGTTTTTTCTTGGCTCTGTCATTATCATGCTTGTGTACTTCATGTGTTTCGCATCACATTTTTGAGTGGCGCACCCACCCAGTTCAGTGATGACATGCAGGTTTCTCACGTTTCCCACGAATGGTTTGTTTTTTCAGTTGTGTTTTTTTCCGCACGCCCATCCACTTTGGCAACCCAAGTTCTTTGTGGCGACTCATGGACCGAGTTCTTTTTCTGCAACAGCTGAAGTGAGAAAACACGCGGCCATGCCAGAAGTTGATCGCCCCGTGTTCAAATCACGCCTTAAATCGGCTGGCTTTGCAGATTTTGCAATGGTTTTGTTTGTTCTTCTTCAAGGTTGCCCTACCACCAGTTTCGTGCCCTCGATGTTTCCGTGCTGGCGTGTCACTTCTTGAGTTTTGTTTGTTGCTTCGCGTGCATTGGCCACTATTTGCACGTTTGTTTTTCTCGTCCTCTCTACTTGGGTTCCTTGTTGTTCGCTGTGTTCTTGTCCATTTCAGCAAAGCCTTCTCAATGCCAAATCGCCGACATCTGGCGCTCAACTGTCTAGATTTGGTTCTCCTTTCAGGTTTGTTGTGAGCTGACTTTAAGTTTGACGATATTTGGGGGACTTTGACATTTTTCAGCGCAAGTTCTTCTTGCGTTGTTGCCACCACATAAAGGCAGCGTAACTTGCTGGTTTATCAAATTCTTCGACGGAGATCGGTTTTTCGCCTTTGCTTTTGCAGAGTTATCGCAGTGAGTTTCCTTTTTCTTTCAATTTCTTCGGTTTTCGACCCCTTGAAAACAGGAACCACAGCCAGAAATCAAACAATCAAGAGACGCTTGGAGACTCCTAGAACTGTTACTTGGGTTTTGGTTTTCCTTTAAAGATTGTCCTTTTCCAACAAGTCGCTTGTTTGCCTTCAACACCATGCATTGTAGGTCCGGGACCACCAAAACCGAAATGGCCAAGCCACTTTGATCAAAGCATGAGTTCATCACATCATTGGATGTAGCGTGTTCTTCAATGCTTTTCCGTTCCTGCGGTTGGATTCCAAATCCCAGTGCGCGACTTGATAGGCACATCGGCTGGCGAATGCTCAGACCCCGGAGCATCACAGTGCGCCGAGGCTTTGGGCCCGGAGCATCACAGTGTGATGATAATAGTTCTCCAGAGACATTGTTTTTTCCGCTTCCCTATTCTCAAATCAAATATTTTTCTCATTAATCTCTACCGTGCAACCATGTCCTGCGGTTCAGACAAGTTGTTGCTTCCTGCTGGAGGTGCTCTGCAAGCACGACTGGCGAAGCAGCATGAAACAGCCTCAAGTGCATTTTTGGAGGCATGAAAGCGTGTGGGCCGTGATTTGTTTCAATGCTGAAGGGCGCTTTGTTCCCCACATCACTGTGTGGGGTTATTGTTTTTGGCTCTGCACCCGCCGCTCCGCGACCGCCCCCCGCCCCGACTGATCACATCAACTCATCTTCAACGACTCATCACATCCAACCCATCTTACACAACTCATCACATCCCACTCATCACGTCCACTCATCTGACGCCACTCATCACATACCATTCATCTTAAGTGCAGATTTCGTGGCAGGCGCAGTACACAGAGCCTGCAAGAGGACTTGATGGACCACTCATCTTACACCACTCATCACACGCCACTCATCACACACCACTCATCTCACACCACTCATCACACACCATTCATCTCATTCACTTTTATCGTCCAGAATCTTTCCGTCCTGTTTCCTTATCAGCCTCCACTTCTCGTTGGTAGTTCTTACAAGCTTAACATGTGGGGTTATCCGGTCCTTATTTTACTTTTTTTTCGCTGCGATGGCCTCCCTAATAGCAATGGCCTCCACCATAGAAGTGATCGCCTCCACCCTAGAAGCGATGGCCTCACAACCACTCCAAGATTTAGCGTGTTTTTTTAATTTGCTGTTGCGTGCCTCCACGGAAGGCATGCGTGCCCCTTCCATCCTCCAAGAGATAGCCGGCGCCGCTTTTTCCACAAAATGGAGTCGCCAAGAGTTTTTTGCGTTAGCTTGAATGCTTCGCCCTGCTTCCAACGCTTTACAGGAGGCAGCGGCCCTTTTCAATTCAGTGTGACCTTTCAGGTTCCTTGGAACGATTATTCCAAAGGTGATGCTAAAGTTGGAAGTTCGCATGGAGGTTTCATTTTCATTAGAAACTGAAAGGTTATGCTACGTTAAAAAATTAGTTTGTGACATGGGGGTTCTGCTGTTGGTGTGGCTAACTCACACGCAGGACAGAGAAGAACAAACACATCAAATGTCCTATTTGATTGTTTAGTTCATACTTCAGGAAGCAAGTTCCTACTTGCCACCCTGGAACCCTCACCGGTTAGGTAGGTGGTGAATTGCACGCGGGAGGCTTCTTGGATGAATGAGTTTGCTAATTGGAATCCTAGCAGCGGGCCGGCTAGAAGAGCAAGCATCCCTTTGAAACATTTTCCCAATTTTTCAATGAGCCATTTGATCTTGAAGTCTTGAGCGTGTTTTCACCTCAGCGCTGAATGTGTACAGCTCTCTCGAGACCCTTCGCGTGACGGTGCGAGTGAGGAGGCTAGATTGGGTGCCATGTAAGGATTGCGGTTTTGCCCGACGCTTCATTGCTTCATGGTAGGCAAGAATAGCTTTAACAGATTCTTCTTGCCATCGATTCCAAAAACACATCGACGCACCGGGGCATATAAAGTTTGCGCAATAGTGAGCCCTCATGGCACAAAGCCTTTGCACTGCTGCGATGGTCCACACACTCTTAGTACGGGACATCCGATAGATTTGTGAAGATTCTTAGATCGTCGTTGTCGGTCTTCGTCAATTATTTTCAAGTAGTGTGATTCTGAGGCACGTGAACCCGATAAGGAGGACACGTGTTGGAGAATGTTCCGAATAGCAGCGAACGGGATCTTGGCGCCATCGAGTGACCCAGTGAGTCTACCTATGAAGCCGGTGTCAGGGTCACAGGATCAAGGCAGGATCCAAGTGTCCTTCGGCTGAAGCAGAAACGATGTCATATGTTTTTTCGTTTTTGTTTTTAGCCCTAATCAAGTAGGCGCCTACTTACTTAAGGGAGAAGGAAGCTACTAGCTGCCTGGCCACTAGGACGACGCAGGATAGCTCACGCTTCTTCAAGGAAGCTCCCCCCGCCTGAAAGCCGAGGAAGCTTCCTTGAAGAAGCGCTCGGACGTTTTAGGGAAACTTGTTTTCATTAGCTTCTACAGTCTAGATCATGAGTTTCAACTACAGCCCAGTTATGGTCATGGCATTCGTGCGTGAGTTTACAGAAGAAGCGCCCAGGTACAGTGCTTTGGATCACATGATTGGTCGTTGCATGATCAAGATGTCGTAAGGCACTCAACTGTGGGCTATGCCGTGTGTCGCATTGACATGTCCATTCAGAGTGTAGGTTGGTCCGGCAGGCTGCAGCTGGGTTCAACCGAGAAAGCGCTTGGTTTTTGGCAAGCTGGGAAATGAACCTACCTGCAGCGTAGAGATGTATCAGCGCTCAAAGCTCAACGGAGGACAATGATTCTAGCGTCCTTGCTACTAGTAGCGGTGCCCTTAATAGCGATGGCTTCCAACCTAATATGAGCCATATACATGTAGGCTGCGATGCCTCATCTCGTGTGCGCCATTGCACTGTACAGACCAGCTACTCTCAACGCTTTGTGTTTGAGTTGACATCAAACTCCCCGCAGCTTTGCGCCATTTTTTGCTCACGGTTCAGCCTGTGATTTGGAAGGCTCCAGGGAATTTCAAAGAATGCTTTCGGCCTCAGTGCTATCACGCCAATTGGGCTCCGAAGCAGCTTCCGAGTCAAAGTTGCTGAACCCATGGCTGCTTCGAGAAAGAAAGGATTGAATGAAAGGCGAAAGACTTCAGGTTTGGGTTTGAGCAATTGAGCCAGAGCATTTTCTGACACAACTCCAGGTTTCAGATTCGGCCGATCAACCACAACTTTTCAGGACGATTCAAACTAGCGTTAACGTGTTTTGGCTGGACAGAACGATTCCAAAGATGTTTTTTTTGGATTGCTGAAGGCAAACTATTTTTGGGACTACTGCTTTTGCGCAGTGTGCATGGCACAAACCAAGGGCAAGGGGCTTGGCCATGCTGGCAAGGGAACTTGGCCACGCCAAGGACCCACCCCTCTCTCACTATTTTTCGGTAGACTTGCTGGCCTGTCAACGTTTTGCTGTGCTGCCAGCTGCTGCAGCTCTTCAGAAGATTTGTGAGGCTAGCCTTCGCTTTGTCGATGTCTTGCTAGAGCTGAATCGTGCCGTTATTGCCTTGCATTGTGGGTGGGATTGCGCGCTGAGGTGTTGCGCTTTTGGAAGGGAGCTGCTTCCAACCCTCCGGTCGGAACAACAACATAGCAAAGCCACTGCTTTCATCAGGTTGATCATTTGTCCGACTCTGCAGCGGCATGCTGCAACACGTGCAGCACCTCCAACCGTGAGGCACAGAAAACCCAGAGGAAGGCAAGAGAAGAAACACAAACAAAGGAGTCAAGGGCAAGGAGAGACAAGAAGAGGGTTTGGCGGCTGAGGGGCAGACACACACCCAACAGGAGGGAAAAGAGTAACACAGAGTTGCAGGAAAGGGACAGAAGAGAAGGCGGACAGTGTCATCCACGTCACATGTTTTAAGATTGATATATTTTTGTTGTGGAAGGCGATTGTTACCAAAAAAGTTGATAGGGCAGCTTGTAGGCGGAGGCCGTTTCGAATAACGCAAAAGTGGTTGTGCGAGCCAGCATCATTTCAAACGTCATTAAATTAAATGAAATATATTAGTTTTTCTTTTGTAAAGGTAATCGAATTTTATTTGTACAATGAAAATAAATTTATATATTTATGTTGCATTCTCGAAATTATATAGAAACGATATTTGTTTTATATATTTTTTTTGTTATTTATTTTTTGAATGGATAAAATGTATTGTAAAATATATTTGTTGGATTATGTTTATTAGGAATAATTATTTTTCTTGACTATGTTTTTTTGGATTGAATGATATTTGGGAACATTTGGATAAATTTTATATAGTGGAAATGAAATATAAATGAATCGTTAAATTTGCGAATTTGGTAATTTTGATAACGTTTATTGGTATTATTAATTAAATATTGTTTTTTGTATTTATATTTTTAAATATATTATATATATAGTAATTATATTGTATAATAATTTGCTTTTGGACGAATTAAATTTATATATTTTATTATATATTTATACAATTATAATTATTTTAGTTTTATAAAATTTAATATTATGATAAAGAAAAAATAGGAATTTAAAAAAAATTAAAATTTTAGGAGAAAATATATTATTTACGACTTAATTTAATTAAAAGGAAGAGAATAAAAACAAAAAATTATATTAAGATGTTTTTTAATTGTATATAAGCGTTAAATATTAATATTATGTTTTTATATTATTTCTGATTACCTTATATAAAATTATCGTGTATGAACGGAATTAAATAAATTTTTTGATTATGTAAATTGAGGTTTCCGCTAAATGAAAATGTTCGATTGAATGTTATGAAGATCGATATATTTTATTATATGTTTTATGTAAATTTGAAAACTTAGAATTTGTTGGGTTTTTTTTTAGATTTTTTTATTTTTTTCTAATGCTTTGATTTAATTGTTTTTAAAATTTTATATATTTTAAATTTTGATAATTTTGTTTTTATATATATTTTCGTATGAAAAAGTGTCGGAAGGTCTCGTAATTAGCGAGAGAATTGGAAGAAGAGATTCTAATTCGTTTTAAGGAAGGATATGGAAGATTGCATAATTAGAAAAAAGAATTTACTTTCAAACAATGTTATAGAAAGACAAAAATACCTTGGTAATAATATTGCAAAAAGGGAAAATATACCTCCCCTTTAAAAATTACAAAACGAAGGAATTAACCTTTAAAAGTCGCGAAAAAAAACGGAAGATTCTATAATACGAATCAAACCTTGTGAAGTGTAAATTCGTGGTCTAAACTCGATAGGCGACACCGCTAATTAAAAATTTTAAGGTCTAAATAGGAGGGTTGGCGTTATCGTTATGGCCTGTGCCCGCCCGCGCAACGCTCTGCGGAGAAGCTGAGATACAATGGCTGAGAAGGCAGAAGGAAGAGGATGAAAAGTCAAGCCTTGAAGGACGTATCGAACCAGATTTTTTTTTTTCACTAAATAAATCGTGTGTTGGCAAGGATAAATAGCTGATGGCAATGGTTGAATCAGGTCCACGGCTGGGTTCAAACAGAGGGAATCAACAATTTCAAATTTGAAATGGATAAAGACTGGTAGATTGTTTCCTCCTGAGGCTGAGAAGGTTCCTAAAAGCGGCCTTTCAGGTAACACGCGTTGGAAGACTGACAAACATGAGGAAAAAGGAACTCATGTTTAAGGGGGATGATGTACTTGAGACCATGTTTCTCAAGGAATTGCGGACTTCTCTACAAAAAACTTGTGAAACAGCTTCGCCAATGTGATTGTACCCCTGGCTTCTCCAGCCCATAAGGCTTCCCATGCTCTTCAAGTGTTTGCCGCCAAGGAAGAACTCCAATACCTATGACGCAAGACGCATGTACTTCTGATGACATAAGCAACTCATAATGACTCAAATTCCTGTGTTTTTTTACAAAAATCAAATTTTATAATTTACAAGCGACCTAAATTACGTAATCTTGGAACCTAATTTCTGCCATTTACCTAAATCGATCAAAAACCCAGAATATTTTTCCCGAAAGCATTGCGAAGGGTTATCTGGAAAATCCCTTGAACACTTACACTTACACACTCACACTTCCACCACATTCGCACTACACACACTAACACTTTACACACTGACACTCGGCAAGCACGTAGTGTAAGTATGCAAGTGATGGGTACGCAAGCATGCTTTGAGCATGCAAGCATGCAATGAGAGGCAAGTGTGAGTTGGAAAACAAGCACGCGAGATGTCCTAATGAAAAAACATTTCCCCCTTTGTAAATTCTCTCTTAACGCGGAGGGCGGGACGAACAACGTCAACCGAAAGTGCAACTTTCTGCGGAGATCGTGTGTGTCCAGTGCGCGAAATGCAGGCGAGAGTTCAAATTCCACTTGCTGGAGCACCTGACGCTACAGGCCGCGCTGCCTCCAGCTAAGCGTAGAGCTGCTGATCGCGACTTGTCCGGTCCGCGCGCAACCCAGAGAATCGTGCGTGTCGAGTGCGCGAAATGTAGGCGAGAGT